CCCCCGCCGCTGGGTGACCTGCCTGCGGAACTACTGCCTGATGCCCTGCCCGCACACCGAGGAGGGCTCCCAGGACTACTTCTCCCTCCACCGCCACCAGGTCAGCACGGCCAGACGGTGGCCACGGCATCACCCACCCCCCCGCCCCCCTTGGGGCTCCCCGTCCCCCGGGCTCTGTGCTGATGCCCCCACGGTGCCTCTCCTGACCCTGCCAGCCCTTCTGGGCAGCGAGGGTCCCCATGCCACTCAGCCCAGACAGCCACCACGAGGTGACATTTCCTTCAGGCTCCTTCCATCATGGGAGGAGGGGTTGGGGTGTTTTTTTGGATCGAATCCCAAAAGGTGCCTCGGAGCAGTGCCGGCCCCTGCTGTACGCCCCCCCCAAGCTGTGACGGCTCCCCCCGTCCTTGTCCCTTCAGATGCTGTGTGACATGGACCAGGTGACAGCGATGCGGTTCATCCTGCGGCAGCCCTCCCCGGTCTGGCTCCACTTCACCATCGAGGAGCTGCAGATTTTCCCCCCTGGACAGAAGGTGAGTGGGTGTCCCCCCTCCAGGCACAGCAGGGGGTCCTCGACAGGCCACTGTCCCCAGCCCTGTTCCTGGCAGTGCTCCCCACAGCTCCAGGGGCTTCAGGCACCCTTCAGAGCACACAGGGGAGTGGGGCCAAGTCCCTGTCCTTCGCTGGGGCACTCGAGGTCCCCTGGTGCGCTGGGGGCTGGGGAAGGACTGCTCCAGCCAGCCCCAGCCATGCCCATTTTGGAGGTGGATGAGTGAGCACAGAATCACAGAATGCTCTGGGCTTGGAGGGGACCTCTGGAGATCATCTAGTCCAACCCCCTGCTAAAGCAGTCCTCCTAGAGGACCTGCTTTACACAGGAACATGTCCAGATGGGTTTTGAACATCTCCAGAGAAGGAGACTCCACCACCTCTCTGGGCAGCCTCTTCCAGGGCTCTGCCACCCTCAAAGTGAAGAAGTTCTTCCTCATGTTTAGATGGAACTTCTTATGTACAAGTTTGTGCCCGTTACCTCTTGTCCACCAGCGGGACAGAGCTGGAAGTTGCCACACCAAATTATGGGTTGCAAACATCCAACCTGATCACAAAATTCCCTTTAATAACTGTGAAGCGCTACTTATACCCATCCTGACAGAAACACAGGTGGGCTCCAAACTGCTGCATGGTGTGAGGGATGGAAGTGGGACTGGGGACACCCCTTGTGTGACCCTCTGGATCTGTTTCAGAGCCCCCAGAAGGATTTCCCCTCCTGGCTCTCCCAGCTGACCCCTCCAGAGCAGCCAGCCAGCCTGCACGGGGTGAGTAGTCCCTGCTGAGGTATTATGGAGAAGGAGGGACATGTGTGAGGTGTCATCCATGGGCATGAACATCACTTGTGAGGCTGCTGGCCCCATCCCTGCCCCATCTGCTCCAGGCTCCCACCAGGAATAGCTGTGGAGCCCCAAAACTCGTGCTGGAGATAAGTTTGGAGCATTCAGAAGAAAATTATCTCCATGGGGATGTGCGATTTGAGGTGCTGCTGAAGTCTCGCTGCCCTCTAGTCTGGGGACAGGAAGGTCCCCGTGGGAGCGGTGGGTGGGCAGCATCGCTCAGCCGGCGGGTGGGACGTGTGGGGACAGTGTGTCCCGGTCCCCAGTGCTCGCAGCCGGTGTGCCCTGGGGAGCGTGATGCCCGGCCAGGACAGCACGTGAGCAGAGGGGAGATCACAGCCACGGCGCGTGTGTTCAGCTTGTGAGCCACATCTGCCTGGCCGGTGGCCTTCGGTGGGCAAAGTCCGGGCAGGGGTGGGCTGCTGGCTCGCCCACGGACACCTGCTGAATCAGCCACTGGTGTTTTGCCTGTAGGAGCAGGCTGTGCCAGGAGCAATGCCACGTGCCACCGGGCTTCGGTGCTACCAAGCTTCTGCCAGCCCCAGCAGGTCTGGGAGCTCTGGTCCCCACCAGGCAGGCTGGGGAGGACACCCCCGTCCCTCGCTGCTTGCTTGGATCATGTCCCCCTTGGTCCAGGGGGAGATGCTGGGGGTTGCTCGGGGTTTGGCTGTTCCCAGCATCGCCACAAGGCACCCACTGGTACCGTGGGCCAGGGAGAGGTGGCACCTCAGTGTGAAGAGCCACCACTGAGCCTGCATGTCCCGTCTGGCTGAAGGTCCCCGGGGGGAACCGGCGCTTGCAGCGGGGGGGTTCTGTCCCCAAGCCTGGGGAGCACCACTCAGGGAGGCTGTTGGGAAACTGGACTGTGCAATTAGTTTTTTTTTAATCATTAGCCAGCGATCTGTTTTCTGCCCTTGGCCTGGATGCCCGCCAGCGGAGACGGGCTGCGTCGGCACCATGGCCCCAGGGCTCAGGGTCACCCTTTTCTCCAGCTGCCTGTTTTCCTAAAGTGGCCCCCCCCCATGCTCACCCTGCGTTGGGAAACCACCGGCAGGTCAGGAGAAGGGGCACCATCGCGATACTGCCCAGCTCCCCCGGGGGGGGGAGGGGGTGTGAAAGAGCCATCCAGCCACACCGATGCCCAAGCCCCGGGGCCATCCCCGCTCCGCAGCATCGTGCCCGCTTCTTTCCAGGAGCTCCCCGACCCGGAGAAGGTGTCGACGGAGGTGCAGCAAATGTGGGTGCTGACGGAGGTGATCCGGGCTCGCCAGGCAGCCGCCCGCATCGGGCGCTTCGACGTGAGTTGGGGTCTCCAGCCCTCCCTGCATCCCTGGGGAGCCCTCCCGGCGGGATGTGACGGGGTTGGGGGGGTGTTTTGGGATGGAGCGGAGCGATGGTGCCAGGGGGGGAGCACAGGGACAGACGGTGTCTCTCTTTTCCAGGTGGACGGCTGCTACGATGTCAACCTGCTCTCCTACACGTGAGCCCCGCGGGCGCCGGACGGAGGGAGCTCAGCGCTCCCGCATCCTTCCCGCAGGAATTCCAGGCCCTTCCTGCGCCCCTTCCCCAATTCCTCTGGCGCTGGTGGGCAGCGCTGCCACCCGGGAGCCCCCCGGGGGACCTTTCCCTTCCGCTGCCAGGGCTCTGTGCTTGGCACGTCCCAGCGGGCTCCCTCACCCTACCTCTGCCCTGGGGAGCGGCTGCCCGCCCGGCCTGCGGGAGGAGGCTCCCGCAAACAAAGGGGGTGCGGGGGGTGGCCTCCACCACGCACGGAGGAGGGGGGTGGGCGGGAGAG